TTTGCTTTAGTTTTGTGCAAACCTGTAGCTGTTTCCATTGCTGCTCTTCCTTTCTGTGTGGAGCTGTGGATTCTTTCAAAAGCACTTCCAAAAACCATTCCAGCAAAGCCAGAGAGAGCCCCCTGAGAGTATCTGATTGTTAATGTCCCGAACTTGCAGGGTTTGTTTCTGTTTCCAGGATGGTTTTTTTCTTCTTCTTCTTTTTTTCTTTTTTCCAAGCTGTGCAGCGTGGGTGCCTCAGCGCACTGGAAACTTTTGCATAACATGGAACTCAGGCCCACCCTGACGTGACAACAGGTTAAAGATAACTCTTGGGACACGCTCCCAATCCTTGTGGGAGAGCTGGCCTTGGGGGTGTTGGGTGGAGGAAGCAGAGCTGTGTGCGGGGGGCCAGACAGATCTGAGAGTTCCAGAAACTGCCTGTGGGCACCTCTGCTTCACATTCAAGCCGCTTGGATTTTAGTATTTGGAATGGTCGGGTGATTTTTCTGTGATAACCTGGAGTAGCCTGTCAGGGGAAGCAGGAGTGGGCGGGGATGTGGGAATGAGGCCTGACTATAATTGCGATCCCCAGGAGCCAGTGCGTTGTCCTGAAAACTCCTGTAGAGCTTGCCTGGGTGGTGTGTGCGTGCACCTGCGCAGGGCGGTGTAGGACGTAGTTGGGGCTGTCGAGTTCCTCTCTGAACCCCTTTTCCTGCGCTGCGTTTTTATCATTCTATGAAGCAGAAACTAAAAAGAAAATGTGAAGCTGACCAAGAACAAAGGAACCACCTACAAAGGGACAGGCTTAATCTGCCTCTGGTTCAGAAAACACCTATTGCTTTCCCATTTGTAAAGATGTCACTTTCTACTCAGAACCTGGAGGAGGCAGGGCTTGGATCAAGGACATTTTGTGGCAGCCTTCGCACTCATTAGGAAGCCAGCTGCAAACCCGAGCTCCCCTCAATCGGAGGAGCCCCCCCACCCCCGCCCCCCAGCCTGCCAGGCTGCTCTGTACAACAAAGCTGTTGCTTTCATGTTGCTGGCATCTGCTTTTGTGCTCTGGATGCCTCAAACCTTGGGTGCCCTGGTGTGGACATTTGCAGGGGGAGGGGCTGGGTTGGGGTGGGGGTGGCCGTGGGCGGGG